TATATATATATATATACATATATATATATGTGTGTGTGTGTGTGTGTGTGTGTGTGTGTAAACAAATGACGCCGAAAATACCATGGAAAATAAGGAAAAGAATATCAGCCTACAACAATCAATTCAAAAGCTGTAAACTTTGCCTGGAGGAAACATACCCATAATTACCTTCCCAGACCAAAAACAAACTACAAAATAAATGATCAGAACTCATCTCAAAATGCACTTACTTTTACTACGTTACTTATAAATCGAAAATCGAAAACGAACAAGAGTAGATGAAAATAAATAGTATTGTCTAGTACTGCCATTAAATTCAAAAAGTCCAGGTGCTATATCGAAGAGCGATATTTATTTGTAATTATTTAAAAAATGTGTCCCAAGGCCAAAATGGAGATTGAGGAAAAGAGCGGTCTTCATCTGTCTTAACTTAGCTAGCCACAAACACTGATCCAAACATACAACAATATTCCTAACACCAAAACAACGCATTCTTAATTACCTTTCTTATTATATCCACCATAATACCTCAAGTCTCAATGAAAATCCTAACAAGTCCCCATATGTACAATTCATAGTCTAGGGGGGGGGGGAATAAAACAACAATTTAAAAACTAGTCCAAATGAGTACCATACCGAAGAGTTCATCCGAACAATTACGATAAATTTATTTATAGAAAAGGCAGGAAGACAAACTTACGGTAGTGGTAAAGTGATTGAAGCCGAGATCAGGGCCTAGAATATTGACGACCTTTCTTTGGAGCTTATCAAAAACATCATAGTAATTATCAAGGGTGTCGGATCGTATGTGACAGCAAAATATTCTAAGCATGAACGAAGGGTAGATTTGTAGATTCTTAAACTTATATGACAGATTCTGTACTGATCAGCCTTAATATCGAGACAGGAGTAAATGGTTGTCATCAGCGGAGATACCAAGTTGATTGCTTAGAATACCACCGGGAAGGTTAAAATGAAAATGAAAAAAAAGTAAGATCTCTCTCTCTCTCTCTCTCTCTCTCTCTATATATATATATATATATATATATATATATATATATATATATATATATATATATAAATATAGTCTTAAGGTGTGCTATATTTATGGAATAAAGTGCTCAATATCAGAGATAGAGCGTGTGTAAATATAAAATATATGTGGCCTGACGATTGCATATAGCATGAAACAGACTGTCGCCTCTAAGTGTTGACTTCTATGTTCACTTTTATATGTATATATATATATATATATATATATATATATATATGTATATATATCCTCAAGCGAATTTTGGACGAAATGGAACTAATGCCTTTAATTCAATTACAAAATTAAATTCGGAGCTTTTAGCTTCCATTTTTGAAATATGGTTAGAACTGTGTAGCGAAAAAAAACATATTTTAAATCAATTAATTTATAATATTAATGCTCTGTAAATTTACATTTAGCACTATTTTGTAAAAATAAAATATCTATAAGAACACCGGATTATATATCTTACTGTTCTTTTTATATATATATATATATATATATATATATATATATATATATATATATATATATATATATATATATATATATATATATATATGCTGTCGCTGCTGGGTGTTAAACTCAAATATATACATACGTTCGCATTCTGTCCATGAGACCAGGGTTCGAATCTCACCATGTTCGATTAGTCAGGAAGTCTCCTTCCTGAGGTTATCGGAATGGAGGGCTCAAAGTTACAAGTCATCGCTTGAGCGTGCTGGCTTTGTTCAAATTGTTGATGACGCTAGATAACACGCTCTGTCCCAGAAACTGTAACTAAGGTCTGCTCAGCATAGTTGCCATATAAATCACAGGTGGGCTCTGTGGGTGTTGAACAAATACAAATGCGCCTGAGGAAGCTTCTGCAATAGGGATTGGCTAGCCACTCTAGTAGACGGTATCCTTGAATACAGAGTGGCCAGCTATATATATATATATATATATATATATATATATATACAAGAGAATACAAGACACACACACACACATATATATATATATATATATATATATATATATATATATATATATATATATATATATATATATATATATATATATATATATATATAAGAATTGGCCAAAGTCTGACAATTAAAGACATTTTTATGTTTAACGTTCTTTTTTATAGATACAAGTATTTAAGTAAATGCTCTGTTTATAATAAACAGTATTAAATAACATTTACCGGCCTGAATGTCCGAAATTTTCATAGAAAGTATTCGTCCTTTGACACTTCGAACCTGCATCCTATACGGAACCGTCATTTACGCTGACGTGCCTTAACCGTATAGGATGCAGGTTCGAATCCTGTTAAAGGACGAATATTTTCTATGAAAATTTCTCGGACATTCAGGCCGGTAAATGTTATTTAATACTGTTTATTATAAACAGAGCATTTACTTAAATACTTGTATCTATAAAAAGAATGTTAAACATAAAAATGTCTTTAATATATATATATATTTGAGTTTGTGACCTTGGGTTTCGCGCTTTTGCGATTATCAGACAAACACCGCGTTTGAGTTTGTCTCATGATGAATTTGTCTGATGGTCGCAAAAGCGTGAAACCCATAGTCACTAACTTATGTCCATACAACAGAATTATATATATATATAGGTTAAGTAAGGAAAAATGCATTTATTTTACACAACAAATATTTAGTTTTTGTCTTTGGGAATGTCCTTTTTCTTTTCATTCTTCTGCGTTGACCGAATTTTCATTTTATTTTTATATCTTTTTTCTTTTTAGAAAGAGCAGATTATTTCATGTAAACCTTAGGCACACCGACATGAAAACAAAACATCTGCTGTGAAGTACATCAAAAAATGGGTCACTGCCACAAAACGGACCAGTTCCAGCGCCTGAATTCTTTACGAAACCCAGCTGCACGCATTAGTAGAATAGAAGATACTAGACAGTGACAATTTGGCGCTTGAATTTCCTGAAAATGCGGTATCGCAGATTTTAGAAGAACACGCAGTGAACACAAATTATTGATGTGTCGCAACTTACGCCAATTCAGTAGTTTATATCTTACAATATGCACATAATATCTTGTTTAGTCTTTTAATTATATCACCCTAAGCACGGCAATAAAGCCACTAAGACGCAAGATTACTGAGTTTAAGAGAATATAAGAAAGAGAAAATCATTATTAGTGAGAGAGAACAATAAAAGATCAGGAATTAAGAAAACAGAAGATAACGATCGACATTGCATTTAAATTTTTTGAAGATCAAAGTTGACTGAAAAACAAGAAGCCGGAAGAGAGTTCCACAGTCTAGAAGTGTGAGAGAAGAAACAGTTAGCATAGAACTTACGGTTATATTTAGCCAGTTCAACTGTAAAATTATGAGACCTGTCCGCCAATCTAGTACTGCGCTTGAATTCATAAAGGAGAGTTCACCAGAACAGTTACCATCAAAATATTTATGAAAAAAGCACAGGTGAGCTATGTTACGGCGGTGGGAGAGTGACTGAAGCCGGGATGCCAGGTCAGGATCAGTAACATTGCAAAGTCTTTGGATTTTATCTAGAATGCCTAAATATTTGTACGGTATATATCAATATATCCCTCTGCCCGTCTTGACTTCCATATGTCCAGTGCGTGTTAAATTCTCTAAACCCTCTTTCCTCATTCTGTATCCCATAAATTTTAGCTTTCTTTTTCTGATTAGTATCTTTTTGGTATCTGTCTATATTTCTGAGATGAGGTATTATGTACACTATTTACATTATTCGTACTATTGTCCTCATCTTTGTCGCCATATTTATTACAACGTTTCGGCCGTTGTACGCTTCGGCCTTCTTCAGTTGGTTGGAACGTCGAACCGAACCCTTTATTTCGCTCACTGGAGTAGACTGTTCTAGTTCCACGTGCCATGCTTAATGGATGTCAGTTATCAGTTATCTCCTGTTAATTCTCCTCTCTTCAAGAACACATGGCACAGTGGATAAAGGCGTTGGTTAGACCCAGTGACAGGACCCAAAGTGTGTGATTTCAATACCCGATTAAGGCAGTGGAGAACTTTCAGAGGGAAAATTAACAAGAGATAACTGATAACTGACATCCATTAAAACATGGCATGTGGAACTAGAACAGTCTACCCCAGTGAGCGAAATAAAGGGTTCAGTTCGAAATTCCAACCACCTGAAGAAGGCCTGAGCGTTCAAAGGCCGAAATGTTGTAATAAATATGGCGACAAAGATGAGGATAGCAGTCCGAATAATGTAAATAGTGTAGTATCTTTTTGTTTCCACTTTCCATAAATCTTCCTCGTTGCTCAGATATTCAGTCCGTGGTATTCTCAGCATCCTTCTGTTGAACCGCATCTTTGTTGCCTCATGTCGCCTCTTCGTCGGCGGGGAAATTGTCCAATATTCATTACGATATTGGACGACTGATATTACACAGCAGCTGAGGATTTTTTTCCTTTCTTTCTAATGAGCATTTCCTATTTCTTTATATTACACTATTTCAACGCACCTTCGGATTTCGGTGTCACATTTTTCGTTGTTTGTTACAAAAGCAGTAGATAGGTTTGCCTATCATCCGTTTTACACACCTCCTCGGTTTTTTTAACAGAAGTAGCGGTTCATTCCTTGTATCCTGTTGAGGATTGGGTTTCCGGATCTTTGTAAAATCTACTTCAACACTATACACCTAAAATCTCCGCCTGAACTCTGACATATTTATTAGTTAATTAAATATTGACCTCTTCAATCTAAGATTAGCTGTCTATCTTTCTTGTTATCTTGTCTTTTCCTACGCAAATACAATTCTACACAGTAACTCTCTACCTTGACTGGCTCTTGGGCATTGTATTGGATGAACATTAGTCAAAAAAAAGGAAAAGAAAAGGTCTCTAGTAAGGAACACCGACTGAATTTAACCCTAACCCTAACCCTTCCCAATATGTAGATCAGTTTTTCTCTATTCCTTAAAAAAAATAATACCAAATGCTTTGTGATGTTGGACTGTATATTTTTCAAGTCAATTTGACAACAGGAAGGCTGTTAATCTCTTTTATTTATTCATATATATATATATATATATATATATATATATATATATATATATATATATATATCGTCCTCTTTCTCTTTCTCTCTCTGTCTTTCTTTTTCTTTCTTTCTATCTATTTCGCTTTCTTTCTTTCTCTCTTTCTCTCTCACTATTTCTTTCCCTTTCTCTCTCTCTTCTTCTCTGTTTCTTTCTCCCTCTCTCTCTCTCACGCTCTTTCTCTAGTGCTCTTTCTCTCTGTTTCTCTTTCTCTCTCTCTCTCACTTTTTCTCTTTATTTCTCTCTCTGTATCTTCCTTTCTCTCTCTCTCTATGTCTCCCTCTCTTTATTTCACTCTCCCTTTCTCTTTCTCTCTCTATCTTTTTCTCTTATTCTCTGTCTCTTTCTTTCACCCTCTCTCTCTCTTACTCTATGTTTCTCTCTTTCTCAGTCTCCCTCTTCCTCTCGCTTTCTTTCTCTCTCTCCTTCTCTCTTTCTCTTTTTCTCTCTCACTGTTTCTCTCTTTTTCGCTGTCTCTTTCTCTTTCTTTCTCTCTTTCTCTCGCTCCCCGCCATATTTACCAGATTAACAGCAAAATTGTCCAAATCATGTAACTGCAAAATTGTCCACTTGTTAGATTAAGCTTTGAACCGGTGTATCTTAGAAATGATTAAATATATCTTACTGGAATTTTCCGAGGTTTTTATAACACTATTGAATTTTATTTTGAGCAATAAGAATGTATAATTACTTTCCAAGCTTAGAAAAATCGTGATGAAATCGATCATCGAAAATGACATGTTCATCATTAATTAATCATAGCTAAAGTTTGGAAGCTCAACAAGGAGTAAAATAAAGTTCAAACATATATTTATTATTCCAGGATTATTTTCCAACTTATTCAAGATGGTCTTCGCTCTCTCTAGTCTTCTAACTTTCTGTCCTAGAGTAACAAGTTGCCTCATAGGTTTCACGTATGATTTCATTTTCAAGTCTTTTTTCACTGTCATAATTGAAACTCTTCTCTCACGTGCCAAACGTCATATGGATTGAGTTGGATCTTTTCTAACTGATCTCTTTAGCTGTAAATTAAAATGATGATCCCTCTTCCTGTTGTGATTCAGTTTTCCTCTCTACTGTTCAATCTTTTTAAAACTTATTCACCGTTCTTTTGATGATTCTTGAGTGGACTTTGACGATGGAAGCGAAAGTATGAATGTTGGTATCATTACTGAAGGCCTGAATGATTTTTACTCTTACCATTGCTCAGTTGAGAAGACAATTGGTCTGATACAAAACGATTTTAACCTGTTTTCTTTTTAGCTGAATAACTGAAGGGTTTTTCAATGATTCTTATGACAAATGGTACCAAGATGGCGAAACATCTTATCTGAAAATCTGGAAAAAAACTATATAAGTTTAGTGTTTTTTTAGATATTAAACATTTGTGTGATGGACAATTATGATGTAACACGATTTGGTCAATTTTGCTCTTACACCCAGTATTAATATATTTGGTGCAAAGTTTGCTGTTTTTGATAACGTGATGATAATCAACCAATCAGATTGCATTTTAAAGAGATAGCAATCTGAGGCAACTTTTTCTGCATATAAAACGGAAAGAATTCTCGAATTCTAGTTAGTTGCGAGACATATCATGACATAGCCATACGTTGCTGGATCTCAGTTTGACTTTTAAATATCATAGAACTCTGAAACCGGAAAGTTACTCTAGATAAATTATTATTGATATGTTTTTATTGGGGTGGGGCGGAATTGTTTAGATTGGAAAGATTACACAAAACAATTTATCGAATGCATTAGTTATAGCCATATATTTATATTTTTGTGTCAATACAATAGCGAACATGTTGATACGTAGATAGATATTATGAAGAATGTTTGTATGTACACCCTTGTATGTCTATGTAAATGTGGATGTCTATATTTGTATAAGTGGCTATTTCATCATATCTGTGTATACATTTACATTATATTTAAAATCTACGTATAACATGTCGATACTTGTATATGAATTACAGTGGTATTTTTATATTTGGAGGTAAGTGTGCGTATATGTGTATCTGTATATGTACATATATGTGTATATATAACATCATTTTATCTTTTTTTATTTATTTAATTAATTATTTATTTCCCTGTAAATGAAATGGACAGGACCTAATATATATATATATATATATATATATATATATATATATATATATATATATATATATATATATATATATATATATTCAGGAAGAGGAGAGCCGAGTTCAAATTCCAATCGAATCCATTACATTCATTTACGTCCTAATACCCTTGAGAAAGGTTTTAATCCTCTTATTCCCCCTATTGTGTAAATAGCAGGGCAGACAGGGTTCTATAGCCTTGGATGGCAATTCGTCTAGGAGAAAGACAACTCTGAATTCAAAACCTACGGAGGGTCGTTTGGGGACCTAGCGGCACTTAGACACCAGTTCCCTTCAAAAAGTGTGTTTGGTTCTGCATAAAGCCCTTACTATATAATCAAATCATATGTAATGGTGTCTGGGCTGTCGGTTTCTAGGACCCTCATACGTCAAATACGACGGGAGAGTACAATATATATATATATATATATATATATATATATATATATATATATATGTATATATATATATATATATATTGGTTATTACATCGAAATCATGTGAAAATCGCTACACAATTGCCGTCGTGTTTCGATGCATCTCATCAGGTGATTGTAAATTACTGGCTAGTGTATTTATAAGGTTTGTGGGCTTTACTCAGATCAACCAATCAATTATGACCTACGTTAAATTTAAACTAAGCGAAGAAGCAAAATTAACAAATTATTTTTTTTATAAATGGTTTATGACCCGTAGATTGGCAGGTAACAGCAGCCAGATGGAGCGGATGCAAATGTTTACAAAAATTATACAAACCAAACAATGCCGTTTTGCAAGAAATAAAAATGGGGTGGAGAGGTAATTTAACAATATGGTAAACCAAATATATGCTTTGTGAATTTCCCACATAATTTTTTTTTAATAGTTGATAAACAAATAGCTTCTTTAAGAAACTAGTAAATAATTTAAACGTATAGAATTATTTGGTAAATTAATATACAACTGTTGAATAAACATTTTTCATATAAGATGTTACTAACACAAAGCAATCAATGTAAAATGTTAAAAATACCAACGAAATACCAATACATAAAGTAGATGTTACTAATACAACCAGGAAATTAATACTAAGTTATATTAAATCCAAATTAATCTTAAAAATAGGAAGATAAGCCATATATGGCGCAACGCAGTACAACTAAAATATTGTTTATGTTTATATGTCATTTTGCCTTTATATATATATATATATATATATGTATATTATAAATTAACTGATTTTAAATGTTTTTCGTTACACAGTAATAACCATGTTTCAAAAATGGAAGATAAAAGCTTCAAATTTAATTTTGTAATTAAATTAAAAACATTAGTTCAATTTCATCCGTAAGCGAATTTTGGAGTAACTTATTTTTTAAATTTACAGAGTTTTAATTTATAATATTAATGCTCTGCAAATTTACATTGAGCACTATTTTGTAAAAATAAAAATATCAATAAGAACACTGGATTATATATCTTACTGTTCTTTATTTATATATATATATATATATATATATATATATATATATATATATATCATCATCATCATCATAAAAATATGGAAGCTTGGGTTAATGTCAATGGCAGTCTAACCGAACGTTTGAAAGTTGAAACCGATGTTAAACTTTGTTTCCACTAAATTTGACGCTGATGATGATTGATGATTTGCATGGCTGTAAGGTTGGTGCGGAAATTCTATATCGCACCGCAGGTAAACTTCTCAATCTTAACCGTTTTCAATTAACGACAAAGAAAAGTTTTATTGCATTAAATCAAGATCTCCATTATGATGGCTCTTACCTGGTCGCACATTCACAGGAGGTCGTATGCAATTGTTCACGAACAAGTCTTTCTGCAGCTTGTAACGGTTTTGATTAGAGAATTAGATTATCGAATATTTCTCGTGTTTCAATCAACTCTAAAGTAATCCTAGATGCAGCCTGAAATCTGTGTTGAAGATTAGCTTTTACCCTCTGTTGTAAAGTTTACACACCTTTCCAGTTCTTACCGTCCTACAGGGTGGGCGGTATGGCCTGTAAACTAAGCTGGTAACGATATCCGTAGATGTGAGAAAAAGGTTTCAGTTCAGAATTCCCTTCTGGTGAAGCAGATCGCTATACACCTGAGGAAGGTCGGAAAGACACAACAGCCGAAACGTTGTGTTAACAACAAAGATGAAACAATAATACGAATGTAAATAATGTAAATAATGATGACTCCTCATCCCAGAAGATCAGACACAAGCTAGTAAAGTTTCACCATCACCGGGCAGACCCTGTATTTTCTCCAGTCACGTTTGTACTCTCAATGAGTCTCCTTGCCTCACGCTGAAAGACCGGCTCGCGCACGATCACTGAAGTTAAGCAACGTTGAGCCTGGTCAGTACCTAGATGGGTGACCGCTTGAAAATACCAAGTGCTGTAAGTTTGGATGTGCCATTGGTATGGCTTACGGTTATATCACGCTGAAAGACCGGTTCCCGTACGATAATTAAAGTTAAGCAACGTTGAGTCTGGTCAGTACCTAGATGGGTGACCGCTTGAAAATACTAAGTGCTGTAAGTTTAGATGTGCCATTGCTATGGCTTGCGGTTATATCACGCTGAAAGACCGGTTCCCGTACGATCATTGAAGTTAAGCAACGTTGAGTCTGGTCAGTACGTATGTAAATATAAAAGTGAACATTGAAGTCAACACTCAGAGGTGACAGACTGTTTCATGCTTGATGATTGCATTTAGCATGTTAACTCTTATATATATATATATATATATATATGTGTGTGTAGAAATTCAGATATATCTGCAAATATATTTACTAGTGATCAGATTTTCTCCGTTGTTAACTTTATCGATCTCTAGCCGAGGTACTCAGCGTTGCCCTGAAGTACATGGCTGTAATTGTATAATCGCAACCTCCTGTATACTCGCACCACCCGTATAGAAATCTCTGACTGCGTCCTCATTTGCATGCACCATCCGTTGGTATACTAAGCTACTCCCTCCCCGTCATTTTTTTTACAGTTTGTTCTTCGCAAGTGTTTGCTTGTTCTTAATAACGGAATTCTATCGATAAAACCCCCTCTTGTTTGGTCGTTGATCGGTGTCAAATTGTTTCAATGTTTTAGATATTTAGTAAATTTCCTATGGTCGTGATAACTTTCAAATAGTATGGCAGTGTTCACAAATCAAACAAATGCAGGGAGGAAGCGTCAGAGCTGGAAGTGCAAACTCCTGAAAGTCCCCTCATGAACGCCCCCTAACACTTCAATAATCCTTCTCAATCAATCTTTGCATCAAAGAGTGTTCGAATGCAAATTTATGATGGAATCGTATAAAGAAACTATTGGCTAAATGGCAAAAGCCGATTTTGGACCTAGTTTGCAGCAGATTTCGTCTACTTATCTGAAATAATCTAAGCCAAACTTTCACACAAATCTTTTTGTATCCTATGTAATTTACATGGAAAATTTGGAAAGCATCGTATGAAAAAACAGGGAGTTATGAGCGAAAAACGGGCTTTTTTAAACAATTTTTTTTGTTTTTTTTTTTTTTTTTTTTATACTCGGGAAAGCGGGCGGGACTAAAAGCACACTACCTTATTTCTTGCATGGTAGCAAATCGGATAAAAATGAAGAATTTATTCAAGTTTTTATTTTAAGTAATACGAAAAACACGATTTTTTTCTCAATTTATTTTTTTTAATTTTTTGCATGATGCCAATGTTGCAGGAAACTGTCAAGCACTCTACATAGACTACGTAACATGGGCTATGTTTTGCATTAAGTTCAAAGAACATCGGCTGATCCAGTAAAAATTTTGTTCGCATGTAACTTGGTTTTTGCAAAAAGTCGTACTCACCTTCAGTTTTATCGATTTTTCTGCTAAACCCGGAAGGCGGGGGGGGGCTTGAGATTGAAAAGTTGGTCTTGAGATCTTGATAAATTTCCAACATTGTACAATTTCATCGAAATCGGTCGAGAAATGTGGATGTGCATAAATAGCATACACAGACACACATACATTTTTTTTTATAGATATAGATCTTATTGAGTTTACATGGTCCGTAGTAGTTGGACCTCTTCAGCCAGAGCAACAAAGTTTCATCTAGGTATCTCAACCATAGAGTCGGTTTTAGTGGTGTTGATTCTAATACCATTTCCTCGAAGTATTCTATGTAGATATTAGCCATTGCTGGTTAGAGTGGCGAGCCCATTGCTAAACCTTTATTTTGTTGATATATGTCTGCTCCCATTCCAAAGTGTGTTGTTTGTGTACAGAAAGTTAGCATCTCCATCAGGTTATCTATTGGTATGCTGGTCCATTCTCCTAGGGATGTGATGGGATTATCGGAGAAAATACAAAAGATCTGTGGTCTATATAACATCAGGACGACCTTCAAAAGTGGTTCAACACTTCGCATACAGGTCTTTCGAGTAAGATCTCCCATAGAAGAGAACATGACTAAGGACTGTGTGTACGCCATCCCGTGCAGCTGTAGTGAGAAATAGTAAGGATAAACAGGTCGTACCCTTAAGATAAGACTGCAGGAACACCGTAAAGCGGTAACACGAGGGGAAAACAGAAAAATAAGATTTGTCTAACTATATATGGAGAGATAAATGGAGATTACCGCCCCACTCCCCTGTGGAATAAGGTTGAAATAATAGACTAGAGAACGTTACTGGAAAATACAAAAAATACGATATGACGATGAAGAGTCTGGTTTCTTACCTCGCCGACACCGAGACAAGTTCGTCCAGTGGGTATGACGTTTACGTCATATCGTAACGGTCCGGGTTCGATTCTCGGTAGTGGAGTCCGTCTTCATTCTTTTGAGGAATGTTCTAGAATCGATGAATTAATTATGATATATGGAATTTGCTTCAAACTTTTGAACTGTAGTGTGTGTGTGTATATATATATATATATATATATATATATATATATATATATGTGTGTGTGTGTGTGTACTACAGTACTGTAGTATATATATATATATATATATATATATATATATATATATATATATATATATATATATATATATATATATATACTACAG